CGCGGGGAAAACGAAAGCGAGAGCTAGCGGCCGAGATACTGCGGGCGGTCGTCGGCGGCGGCGGTGCGGGGTGAGCGGGGCTCCGGGCGCCCGGGGAGCGCGGGGGGATCTGGGGTGCAGGTAGGGGGCGGCGCGGGCGCAGCGAAGGGCGAGTCCGGGTTCGGGACGTGGACGCTGGTGAGAGGCCCCCGACGTGTAGCCCGGCCGCGCGGGAGCGCTGTCCGAGGCCCGGAGCCCGGGAAACGATCGCGCAGCGCGCTGGGGACTGAAAGTCATCCCCCACCCCCCCACCGCAAGAGTCTCTATAAGAGCAAGTAACGAATTTCCTCGGCCGGAGTGGCTGGGTGGCGGGGTGGCGGGGTGGCGGGGGATCTAGCGGAAAACAGGTAAGTTGGGAAATATGACAGATGGGAAATATGGAGGCCTGGATTTGCCATAGGTTGGCTAAATAGGCCCTGGCTGAACATCTCCTGCCTGCACAGTTGCAATTGTTTCTCAATGGCCGGGCCTTTTAGCCCACCCCAACCCCACCCCTCACCCCCGCCCCAACTCCGTACCACCCTGTCCCCCATATCTTTTCTCAACACTGCAGCTGCGGAGGGGGTCCTTTAAGTCAGAACAGGACACTCCTTTTCTCGGATCATCCCGATAGCTCACCATCTCCTGAGAATTCCGTCAGTGGTGGCCCCTGGGTGGCTCGGTTAAGCCGCGGACTCTTGATTTCTGCTCAGGTCTTGATCTGGGGGTCGTGAGCTGGAGCACAGACTCCAGCCATCTGGAGCCTCCCCGCCTCCCGCCACGCAGGGCTCGGTGTTCAGCAGGGAGCCTGCTCGAGATTCTCTTTCTCCCTCTGCCCACAGCCTCAGCTCTCTCGCGCTCTCTCTCTCAAATACATAAATAAATCTTTTAAAAAAAATTCAGTAAATGGCGCCGACAAGGCCCCTTGCTCTCTCCACTGCGACCAGACAGGGCTCATTGCTGTTTTGGGAGGCAGGCAAGCACATGCCTGCCTCTGGGCCTTTGCACGCCTGTTTCCCCTTCCTGGAAAGCTCTTCCCCCAGATGCCTGCATGGGTCATTGTTTTGCTTTACCCTGTACTTCTTGCAATGTCATCTCATCAGAGCAGCCTTCTCTGAACAACCAGCTATGTAAAAGAAACCCCGCCCTTCCCTGACTGTCTCCCCCTTACTCTGCTTCAGTTTTCAACATAGTTACCAGCCTGTGACATTGTTTTATGGATTTGTCTGTGTTCCTCCGCTAGTAAGTTCACAAGAGCAGGGTTTTGTGCTCTGGTGTCACCCCAGCACCTGATAGTAATAGGGCCTCTTTAAATATATGTTTAATGAATAGTAATAGTAATAGTAATAGCTAAGCATTTTGCAGGACCTGGAAGGGGCTGGGTCCACAGGGAGCTCAGAGTCTGCCAGAAGGAACAAGTAAGATGAGGAAGATGGACACATAACCCCCGATAGTGATTTTTGCTGGAGATTTCCTTTAGGAAAATGATAACATAGAATCAAAACAAGATTTATTGACAGTAGTTGAAGAGAAGCCTGCTGTTTCTTTTTTCCAGACTTGTAAGTACTTTTTCAAACATGTTAATTCAGCACATTCTTAGTTTGCACGTATAGTTGACTTAAATTCGAACTGGCTTGTCATTCTGATGAGCGGCAGTTACTTAACATTAAAAGCGCCAAGGGTTTAGAGTAGTTGATAGAACTTCAGGTTCTAATTGCTAAGGGCTCTTCCGTAACTGCTCTTCTGATATCTGTGATCCCTCCCAATCTGATGTCTGGTCTCATGGTTGTAACTAAAGTAAATGACACTGGTTCCTAAAAATAATGGTACAGCTACAGATCCTTATCAAACACCTTTGGGCATGTTCTGGTATTCCGAGAGTTTGGGATTTTAGAAAGGTAAGACAGCATAAATCCTGTCTATTATAGAATGCTCTCAGCAGGATTTGGGGGCAGCCCTCTATAATAAAACAATTTCTGTAGTGAAATGTATAGGTGGACAACAAAGTATCATAAAGACTATAAATAGCTCATGTCAGCTCAGGTCTAGACAGGCGGCTACAAACCTATCAAAAACAAAACAAATGAAAACAAAATGAACCTCAGTTTTTAGTGCGTTTTGGATTTCAGAATTGCAGACCAGAAGCACCATTTATTGAGGGTTAACGGTGTGGGGGACTCTGCTGGGTGCTCTTCATCTGACTTATTCCCCACAGCCACCTCTGAATCACGTGTTTTTATTCCTGTCTTCAGGTCACAGATGAAGGGTTCAGAGAGGGTGTAGCTCAGAGCAGTGTGGCCTCTAAAGCTTGATTGTCTCCACGACACTAAGCAGTAACCTGACGGCTTTGCCTTTGCTCACATTCTAGATACTCCCACCACGTGCTTCCAGCCGCCATCATTGCTCACCCAAACCATGGCAGCATCCTTGCTTGGTCTCCTTGCTTCTGCTCATGCTCTGCTCCGCTGCCCACACCTGTCCCTGCCCCCAGACCCTGTTCTTTACATAGTATCAGAGTCATCACTTAAAACATAAATCCAATCACATCCCCCCTCTACTTAGAGAATGTCCGGTAACTTCCTATTGCAATTGGAACACCATCCACCGGTTCCGACCATGACCTACAAGGTCTATGTGCGTGGTGCTGACCTCTCTGACTCATTTCCTACTCTTTTCCCCTCACTCACTGTGCAGCAGTCCCCTTGATCTTTTTGTTATCCCTTCAAAGGCCATGCTGGTTCCTGAGATACTCTTCCCCATATCTTGATATCATGGACTTTCTCATCATTCAGTCTGCATTTAAAATTGCCTCCTAAGAAAGGTCTTTTGTGACCACTATGTCTAAAACCGCCTCCCCCTTAGCTCTGCCCCTATCTACCAACTCACCCTCTATGCTGCATCCCTATTTAATTTCATTATAGCACTTCCAGCCATCTGGTCATCATATTGTCCGTTCCTGTTATCTGTTTCTGTGCATGGTCATTTTCTGTCTTCCCTCAGTGGAATGCAGGTCGGGTGTGAATTTATCCTGTCCACATCTGTATACTCATTGTCAGAATAGTGCCTGGTACTTGCTAAGCATTTATTGAATAAATGAAGAAAGGATGCACGGAAAACAGCAGATGAAGCAAAGGGAGAAGACGAGGGGGTTTCAAGTAGAGTATTTCATTTTAATGAATCATTCTTTCATTTTCCTATACACCATCCAAGTGTTTGGCATTTACTACTTGCCACTGGGTATTGGTGATACAAAATGAGTAAGACATAGAACCTGCTTCCCAAATTGCTCACTGACTGGGCTGTTATGGGAGCTGGGCAAAGTGGAGTGGCGGGCCAGCCAGGACTGGCTGCCCCTCCAACATCAAAGAAAACGTGTGAGCCTCACAGGTGAGTGGGAGTTGCCTGGTGGACAGAGGGTGCAGATATTGCTTTCAAAGCAAAGAGAAAAGCATGTGACAAGTCATGCAGGTGGGGGAGGTCTGCAGATATTTTGGTATTCATTCATTGATTATGGGGCCCCTCTTATAACAGGCTGGCCCCGTTCCTCTTGTAGCTCATGGTCTCCTTTGGAAGACAGTCAGTTATTTAAAGCAATTGCAGGAAAGGGGCCAAGAGCTGTTGTGGAGCACTGAACCAGGACCTCTTCAAAGGTGTCTGGAAAGTGACATCTGAGCTGAAATCTATAGGAAATAAGAGTTGACCAGGCGAAGTCAGTGGATGGGGTAGAGTCAAGAGCATTTCAAGGAGGCAGCCTATTGGACAGAAGCAGTTAGAGTCAGGAGATAGTCAGGGGTAGAGGTGTTCTTTTGATAACCATCATTGTGTATGTAGGTGGAATTTAAAGCCCTAAGTCTAGAGGCGATCTAAAGGGGAGTGAGTGTTAGTAGACCAGAGAGGAGATCTAAGGACAGGGCCCTGGGGCACTAGATTATTTAGAAGAAATGTCTGTTCAGGTCCTTTGCCAATTTTTTAATTGGGTTGTCTTTTTGTTGTTGCGTTGTAAAAGTTCTTTATATATTCTGGATACTGGACTCTTATCAGATATATGAATTATAGATATCACATTCTTCATATAGATATCACATTCTATCATTTTCTTCATCGTGTCCTGTGTGACACAGACATTTTTACTTTTTTTAAAAAAAGATTTTATTTATTTATTTATTTGAGAGAGAGAGAGCAGAGATCCCAGGATGCCAGGATCATGACCTGAGCTGAAGGCAGATGCTTAACCACCTGAGCCAGACAGGTGCCCCTGTTTTTGGTTGTGATAAAGCCCAATCTATCTTTTTTCTTTTGCTCTTCATCACAAAGATTCCATTGCCAAATCCAAGATTCTGAAGATTTACCCTTATGTTTTCTTCTAAGAGTTTTATAGTTTTGGCTCCTATATTTAGATTCTATATTTTTTAGATTTTCCTTATGACTTAAATCATTGCTACTCTCTTGGTCTAATGAGACCCATAAACTGGGGTCATAATTTACCCAGGTAAATTTATCTATAATTGACTAATGCAAATTTTAAAGGTAAGATTTTTGGGATTTCATAGGGGAATCTGTTTCTGTATAGTGAAATCTTTAATGATTTCATAAACTTCACTTTATGTATGTACTCTCAACCTTTTTCTTCTCAACATGAAGAGTTCTGATTCTACTTGTGTAGTTCAAGCAGGTGGATAAACCTGTCCCTGACCCTCACTGGAAGCAGAGAGCAGAGTGGAAGAGAAAGACCCTTTTCCTTTTTTGGCCAGCTGAGTTTTGAACGTAGAAAGTTTTGGACAAAGTAGCTTGGTGTGCAGATCATGAGAGAAAAAGATTTTGTAAGAAAGTTTTCTCTGGATTTATGTGGGGCTGAGATGAGTCTTATAAAGAAGATTCTTCTTATCCTGTTTTGTCTCCTACACTGGATTGGGATAATCAGGTTAAATATGTTCTGTCTCACTTTTTTCAAATATCTCTTCTGTTCTAGGTTACTAGAAGAAATGGCCAATGAGCGTCCACCAAGTTTTTTTATAGAAGAACTTAATACATACTGTCAGAAGCACAGCTTGGTACTTAGGTATTACGAACTGTCTAAGGAAGGACCTGCACATAACTTAAAGTAAATTGCTATTTTTTTAAAAGATTTTGTTAAAGTAATTGCTCCACCTAATGTGAGGCTCGAACTTACAACCCCGAGATCAAGAATTGCATGCTCTAGTAACTGAGCCAGCCAGGCACCCCAAATTGCTGGGGTTTTTTTACAGTTATATCTCCATAAAATATGAATTAGAAGAATGGCAACTCTGGCACAATTTGGAAGTCAATAATTTAGCTCTAGAGTGAAGATGATGTGCTGTTTTGCTGTTTGAGGGTGACTGCTTAAATTCTATACTGAGCCGGTTAAAACCTTCAAGGTAGTCAGTCACAGGAGGCAGTGTGACTGGAACACTTGTCCTTAGACAATGCATGGATTTTATAACATTTTGTGAATATTGTCTTTGTAATCAGGTTTACATTTCAAGTTACCATAAATGAGAGAAAATATTCAGAAGCGGAAGGTAAATCAAAGAAGGAGGCCAAAAATGCTGCAGCCAAATTAGCTATTGAAAAACTTAATAAAGAAAGCAAGGTGAGTTAATGCCCTTTTTAACTTTACTCTGTGAGAAAACACCCACAGACAGAGTAAAGCCATTCGCAGGTTCTTTCCCATTCAGAAGTACAGTCTTTTTCCTCCATCTCCATTTCTGTAGAGCCCTGAGTCAGAGGTTCATCTACGAAGTAGTGGGCAAAGCCTGCCAATACCCGTTTAGAGTGCCAGCAGTAGAGACCACCTCTGAAGTTGAGTGAATGGGAAAGGAAACAGTGAGAAATGAGCTGACGAGTTCTGGCAGGGGTCCCTCCACCCGACTGAAGGATGGAAGGACAGTGGGGAGGAAGGACAAAGGACAAAGAGATGGAAGGACCATGGGGAGGATGATGGATGAGCAGGACAGGTGATGGAAAACCAGCATTCGTGGAATTGGTGTCCCGGAGGCTGAGAACAGAGTAGAGTACAGAGAAAACTATCCAAAGAGATTCCAGTTGAAAGTGTTTCTGAAATAAAGGAAGACCTCGATGCAGATGAAAGCAACTCAGCAGATAGAGAAAAACACAGAGCCACCAAGAACATCGATCATTGGGAAAGTCCTGAGCTCTAGGGATGATGAAAAAATCCTATGAGCATCGAGGCAGAAAAAGGAAATTATTTAAAATGTAAAAATGAAAAAAAAAATCGTGCTGTCCACAGCATCGTTTTAAACCACGGGATAGCAGAGAAGTGGCCGTAAGATGAGACAAGCAGTCGTTTACATGTGGGACCAAAGAGGATTGTTCCTCAGATATTGAACATTTTGAAAACATTGACTTTCAAGATACTTTCCTGAAAAATCTTCCTCGATGATGTCACCCTTGTAACCCCAATCGGGAAAAGTAAATCAGGCAAAATTGCAAACTCACGAATTGTTAAGGAGCCAGAAAATCAAGTCAAGAAGTTAGGAAAAGAACAGTAGAATACCTTTCCCCAAAAAAGCAGAAGACAGAAAATAATAACAAGGCCAAACATTAATGTAGAAGAAAACTAAGAAACAATAAAGAAGGTCGATAAAACCAAAAGTTAGTTCTTTGACAAGATTAATAAAGTAGAAAAACTTTGGACAAGCTTTTGCCAGATTAGGAAAAAGGTACAGATAAGAATGGAAAGAATGGTGCTGTTATATTCCTCTTTCCCCATAAGGTGTGAGCCAGGATGTAGCTTTACTTCAGTATTGGTAATCTTGTTTTTTGAGATTTACAAAGTGTAGAGTGAGCTAGACAGTGTTAGAGTATTTTGCATGGATAAACAAGAAAGTTCACTATTTTGTTTTTCTGTAGGAAACTATAAAAGGATGGTTCCTTTCCTATTGTTAACCTTTTGTGGATTTTTTATGGTAGAAAAAGATATATACTTAGACTTTTACTCAAGGTAGTAGACTAGGGCAATACATAAAATCTAAGTTGTCTTTCAAATTATTCATTTAGTAATTTTATTAGAGGAAATAAAATGGTTAAATCTTTGTTTTCATCTGTATTAAACAAGATTTTTTTTTTCTTTGTAGGCAGTTAGTTCTTTATCACCGACAACAACAGATTCTTCAGAAGGATTAGGCGGAGGATCCACTGAGAATTTCATAGGCCGTATGAATAGGCTTGCCCAGAAGGAAAAACTGTCTGTAAATTATGAACAATGTGAATCGAAAGAATATGGGCCAGAAAGGTGAGATGTAGTTCAGCTTTTCCTTCTATTTCATTGTATCTAAGCAATAGAACGGGCTTGTTTTCATGTCTAATTTTCTAGAAATATTTGTCCTCCTTTTGGGGACCTTTTGCATGGAAGGTTTTATATGACTTACACACAACTGGTCATCTTCATAATTAAAATATGAAAATGCTTAATTGCTGAAGACTTGGGACCCATATACCATAATGGATCAAATCTGGGGAATCCTTTATTTCTGAGGTATATCTGGATGGTTTAGTCTGCAGGAGACCTAAGAGAGAATGGGGTGCCCCTGCTGGGGGTGTGTGTGTGTGTGGAGTTTCCCTCCCACAGATCACAGTGGGAGTCCTTGTATGACAATGACTGGACCACATGCGTAGGTAAAATGACTCTCTCTTCACCATCATCAGATTAGAGAGCCGTTTGTCTAGGTGTTTGTCCTTCAAATTCGCTAAAATGGTGTCACTCTCTAGACAAATACCAGGTCTTAAAAGAAATGGGTTTTAGCCATAGGCTGTGAGGAGACCCGGATTTAAGGATTATAAAGGTTGGGATAGAGTAGAGCTTCAGAGTTGCCAAGATTTTGGAAGTGAAGATAGGAATGGATAGGAACTGGGAAAAGCAGAAATAAATGAACCTGAAGGAGATTGTTTCCTGGCTACAACCAACCCATTGAATGAGAGAGAGAGAGAAAAATCTAAATGGCGAATAGTCCAAATGACCACTTCAGGATACTGTCCTCTGAATTGACTCAGTTATGGACTTTTTAACTCTGATGGCTTTTAGGCCAGAACCAGGAAGAGGAAAACAGAAGAGTATTCATTGGCATGAAATAGTCCAAAGTGAATTGTGTGAGTCGATCTCAGTAAAGTAGGAGGCTATTTTTTCGTAGCTTACCTGTTTGGTTCCTTGGGATTAAACACTCTAACATAAGTTACCTAAAAGAGAGAAGTCTACTTAGGGGTGCCCGGGAAAATAGGAGCTGTAGAAACCACCCAGCCACTCAATGTAATTCTGCCTTCAGGGCCCAGCAGGGAAGACTCAACCCTGTTTGAGTGTATTTGCCTCCATGGCAAATAATACTGTAATAATTTTGAATTAATGCGTAGTAACTCCCTGATACTTACCATGTCCACTGCTTTTCCACATTCAGTAGAGTTCTCATATAATTGTCCGAGGCCCCTTGCCTAACCACAAATGCAAGCTGATGACATCAAGCTATCCTGGTTATTCTGGCAAATTGGTCAGCCATCTTACCATTTCTCTTCTACAAGATACAATCTAAACGTACCCATTAAATTAGGGTTATATTAAGGTCTTTGTTCATCTGTGTTTGTTTCCAAATCCTAAGTTAGATTTACTGTTTTTTTGGCATTTGGGTAAATACTCTCTATCATTTCTCCTAGATTTTACTATAGATGCAAAATTGGGCAGAAAGAATATGATGTTGGTGGAGGTGCTACCAAACAGGAGGCAAAACAGATGGCTGCTAAATTTGCATATGAGCAGATACAATCAGAGAAAACCTTAATGGTATGAAATGCCTTTGGATTTCACTTTTAAATTTTAAGATTCTTTCTGAAGTTGATTTGAGGTAAGACTGTGTTTAGATGATGCCAAGGCAACCAATCACATAGCAAAGGGATTCCTCCATTCTGTGTTTCACCAATGAGCCCTGAGCCATGGGGCCATGAGGCCCCAGAGAGCAAAATTCTGTTCACAACTCAGGATTGTTGGTTTTTGTTTTTTTTTAAGGTTTTATTTATTTGAGAGAGAGAGAGAGAGAGAGTATGAGTTCGGGGGAGGGGCAGAAAGAGGGGGAGAGGAAGAAGCAAGACTCCCCACTGAGCAGGGAGCCTGATGTGGGGCTTGATCACAGGACCTTGAAATCATGACCTGAGCTGAAAGCAGACACTTAACCAACTGAGCCACTCAGGTGCCCCCAGGGTGGTTTTTTAAATCCAGATCAAGCATCCATAAATAAATGTGGTAGTTAGCACACAGAGACTGAGCCAGTATGGAGAAGTAATGTAATTTCTCTTAAAACCCCTAAGAGGTACTTTCTTTCAGAAAGATGACTCACTCCTTCAGAAAGATGAAGAATCAAGTGATTCTTGGACTACTTCACCTAGTGACTTGGGAAGCAACACTTCGGTGAGAAGCATATCGTAAGTGTGGACAAACAACTGTGATAATTTAACAAATTCAGATTGCTGCCTGAGAGCACATTTTTATGAAAATGTTTAATGTTTAAGGAGAATTTAGAGAAAGAAATTCTGATCAACAAAAAATAGGCAGAATTCACAAACTAATAATTATCCCCTTTTCTTCTAGTGCTTCTAAATCACCACTTGAAAATGATTTCTCACCAAATGCACCAGAAGGAAATTGTAACAGCAACAGTGTAAACAATTCTTCATCTCCTCTGGTATAGTATTAGCCTCTAGCTTCCTGATGATCTTTTTCTCTGTGTGTTTCTTCATTTAAAAATTGCCTCAGTACCCAACCATAATTTTTCTACTTTTATCTCATGCATTCTTATTTCATATTAATATGTGGCAGCATTTTAGCTTTCTCCTTTCTTTATTAACCCCTGTTCCTCACTTGCAAAATTCTTCCACTCTTCACTCCCATTTTCCTATCCCTACTCACCTTCACGTTTTAATATATTCCTGTCATCTTGCTTATCTTCTACCAGTTGGACACTACTTAAAATGTCCATTAATATAGTCTGCTCTTGTTTTAAAACATCAGAACTAAACTTAAAAATCAGATAATTTTTGTGGTGACAATTAGCGTTACATAAGTGCCCTATTTATAACGACCTGTAAACAAATCAATAAGAAAAAGAAAAGCAACTCAGAAAAATGTACAGAAGATCTGAACAATTCAGAGAAGAGATACCCAAATAGGCAACAAAAATATGAAAAGATGCTTTACTGCATAGTAGTAGGGAAAATGCAAATCAAAACAACAGTTAGGTACCTTTTTTAAACCCATCACCATGGCAAAATTTGAGTCTGGCAATACTAAGCATCGGCACAGCTGTATTCTGATTATAACTACTACATGCTGCAGGTGGAAGTATAAGTTGGTACAACCATTGTGGAGACAGTTTGGCAATATGTAGCAAAGTGGAGGGTGTGCACGCCATGCCTTCAAGCAGTTCCATTCCTGGGGATGTCTACTAGAGAAGCAGTTCTATGTATGTACAGAGAAACATATGTAAGTGTGTTCTTGCAACCTCATTTGTAACAGGAAGAGACTTAAGAAACATTGTCATTTGACAGAATGGCTAAATTAATATACTGTAGCCATCATACAGTGGGAAGTGGTATGAGCTCAAAAACTCTTAGTTTGATGCTCCCTGCTTGGTGACCAAATTGATAATACTACAAAACCTACCAGAATAAAAGTGAATATGAATAAAGAATAGCTATGTGAAATTCACTTTTGAGATATAGTGAAGATTCCTCTTTTTTTTTTGCTAAATACTAAAATTAAATTAATTTGTGCTAAAAGTGAAATTATTAGTATTGTCATTTTTTCTTTTTCTTTTTCTTTTTTTTTTTTAGCATTGCCATTTTTAGCTGGTTACCAGATAAGAAACACTTGGGGAATTATTTTAGACTGGATCCCTGAGCTCCATCTGTGTCTTTAGCACTGTGGAGAACTGTGATGCACGCCTTCTTGTTGAGACCCAGTGCTTCTGCTGAACTTGCCCCGATTGCTTTTTTGTCCTTCCTGCCTTATCTGTCTGGTTGCTAGAATAGATGAGAACATTGATCTAGCCAAGTAAACTGAGAAGCAGGGCTTGTTGGGAGTACACAACTTGATGAGGCTGTTCATCTAATGGAACAAAAAAAATGTCACAGAACCATCTAGAAGTACAGGAGGAAGAAGAACAAGATAAAGCAAGATAATTGATTTAATCATCTACAATTGTTTTTCATTTTCTTTTGTTACAGAGCAGTGTCAGAAGTAGTGAAAAGAAGGTGAAAAGGTGGGTATCGTTATGCAGTGCACGCATTTGGAAATGAAGTTTTGTTTCACACTTAGGTTGTTAACCTTATTTACTAAGTCTTCAGTATTTGTAGAGTACTATATACCCTTCTTTGAGTGGAATTTCAGAGGTAGAAAGCATGGTTAAGGATCCCAAAAAGCTTGAAATCTATAAAGAAATGATTTTACATATGTAGAGAAATCTTTGAATGTATGTACACACTGCACCGTAGATGAAAGGGCCTGTGGGGATCACTAGAGTCATTGGTTAAGGGCATTATTTTGGAAGAGGTTGACAGAAGTGAACTTGGAGAGGCACTTTCCAGAGAACTGCGTTATTTTGCAGACAGCAGGTAGGGTAGGGATGGCGTAATGACTTGGGTAAGAAGAGCAAAAGATCCAGTGTTATATAAATGATGGTGGATTGGTTTCTTGAATGGAAGAGAAAAACAAGGACATAACCATAAGTCATCAATGAGGGTGAGATGGCAGTAGGAGCCATTATGAGCCACCAGTATATTCTGAACAGTAGGAGATGTGTCAGGGAAGGGTGATTCCCGATGTGGGTGTTTGGGTGGAGAGAAGAGAGGTGTGTGTGTGTAAGATGATCCAGCTGTCAGCCATGTTTATCATGGCAGTGACAAGGGATGAGGGGAATTTGCAAGACAAACTGTATGGGAAGAGTGGACAGGATTTGAGGGAATAGAGTTCCAATAACTGGGTGAAGAAGAAGCAAAGGAGAAGGAGATACAGACAGGAATCATGGGCACTGATGGGGTTAAGGAAGTTCAAGACTTGAGGGCTTAGGGGGAAGACAGCAATTGGAATATGTTTAGTTATCAGTGGGGTTTGAACTTCCAACAGCACGTGGCTCACCACCAGCCAGGAGTAAAGTACAAAGACCAGAATGATGGTGCAAGGAGATCTATTTCCTTTGGTTTTGAGGCTGTAGGGAAGAAAGGAGAGGTGGCACACCAACAGTGAATGTGTTAAGGCAAAAAAAAAAAAAAAATCAGGAAAGGAATGAAAAATTATTAGTGGACAGAGGAGAACTGTCAGTATATTGTTTTATAAAGAAAGGTTATCACTTTCTACCTTGTAATTCTAATAGTTGACTCAAAATATAAAAAAACTAGTGCATGACATAAAGTTCTATTTTATTTGAGTTTTATATTCTCTTAAATTTTAGAAGTTTGGCACCTAACTTTAACTCTCCTGTGACCAAAGAAAACAAGTACACTGTGGACGTCAGGTAAGAGGGAAACTTGTAAAAAAAAAATCTGTTTAAAGATATGTTTGCGCGTTCGACAAAAGCTTCTGAAGGGACTGTTGTATATCAGCCAGGTTAAATTCTATTTCTCCCTGAACAGTTAATTTTTTTAGTACAGTCAGACCCCCAAAGAATCATTGTCTCTTGGAGAGGTAATGTTTAGATGAATCCAAATGGAATGTGGTAAATGTCGATCTGTGTGATACTGATGTGAGTTTTTCTGACACCCATGGAGGTTTTTAATATTGAAGGTAAATATTTCTATAAACCAGTGATTTTTTTTTAAAAGACCCCTGAAGGAATCCAAATAGATCCACTCGAACCTGTTTTCCATTTTCCAACTCCATTCCAGATTTCACATTGAAAAAAGGTTCCTCTTGTGGTAGATTATGTGTTTGGGTTTGAACAAAATATCTAAAACAAATGTGAAGCCTATTTGCAACAGGAAGACATTGAATACAATTGTAAAAAAAAATAATAAAGAATCAACAAACATTTAATAAGTACCTCATATATACCTGGCACTGTGCTGGGCATTGGATTTTTAGTGGGAACAAACAGAAACAGCTTCCGCCCTCACAGTTTTATGGGGATGATAATTATGTGAGAAATCTGTAATTACAATCTATGGTCAGAGGTCTCAAGGGAAAACAATGACATGGTAAGAAATGGAAATAGGACTGTTGGGTTTAGTGTGAGGGGTGAGGCAAAGGCTTTCTCTGGGGTCACCCATGTCGAGGCGCCTGGAGGTGGGGTCTGTGGCTTCGTAAAAGCAGAGCATGTGGGAAAGTGAGGGTAGGAACGGTATGCGAGCGTTCAAGGGGCAGACGCTGCGTGCTTGGAGTGCGTGAGCAAGGGTGTGGTGCCATGAGACAAGCTGGGGAGGGAAGCACGAGACCCCTTTTAGGCCATCTAAGGACTTTCTGGGGTTTGCTGAAAGCAAAAGGAGGCTATTGGAGAGTTTAGGCAACAGAGAGACAGGCTCAGAGTTTTTCACCCTGCTTGCTGCGTGGCTCATGGATTGGAGCAAAGGAAGGAGACTTGGAAGTGGAGTGTCCGAGCTAGCCTGGTTCTGTAGTGGCTGACGAGGGCTTGGACTGGTGTGAAGATGTTGGAGATGGAGAAAAGTGGGCACACACCAGTGATATGTTTGGGGAGTAGAACTGACAGGGCTTAATGATGGAATGTGGGGCAGGAGAGAGAGGGGAAAACCAGGTAGTTACAAACATAGGTAGGCTCAGAGACCATGCTCATTTCTCTTATGACAGCTTGGTGGTAGCTGGGGAACCAAATATGGTGCTTCCTTCTGAAGTTTTACACTTGAGATAAGCATCTTTATCATGGCTTTTGTGCAGCCAGAAGTTGAATGTCATTACTAGGGTGATTTGTTACAATGGGAGCAGGAGCGAGAGAAACTATGACTTTGTGATTCGAGAGTTTCTGTGGAGTGAACTCTTCTTATAGAGAAGGGTAGAGCCATGTTTGTTATTCAGTCCATTGTGCCGGTGACGTTAAGGGGAAGTGAAAGTGTTGGGTGGGGGTGGGGGTGGGCCATGACCACTGAACTCAGAATAACAGTGGCATTTCTCTTTTCAGGTTTGCTTGTGATTTTACAGACATAACACCGATTGGCTCGGGCGGATACGGTCAGGTTTTCAAAGCAAAGCACAAAATTGATGGGAAGACTTATGTTATTAAACGTGTTAAATATGATACAGAGTAAGTAGTACATGTTTGTTTCTTTGAATGGGAAGGTGTGTGAACGTGCATGATTCTTTTTTTATGTCTCTCTCTTCTTCATTAGCAGATTATTTACTTTTTTCTAGTCTTCCTTAAAAATGTCACTCATCAGGAGCTTGGCTTCCTCTGACATGACCTCACTTTATTGTGGTTATTTCAGTAAAAATTTGGATAGACCATTGATCATTCTTTTGATCCTGTCTTGATGAAAACTGAAGTTATAGAATCATCTAGCTTATAGTGACCTTTGAGATTTTCTGGTCTCCTCTCTTTATTTTACGATTAGGAGACTGAGACCCAAAGAGGCGAACTGATTTGTCAAAGTAAAACCTAGTTGGTAACTATCCCATTTGTCTATTATTGCATAATACACCACTCCAAAATATAGCGGCTGAAAAAGAACAAGGTATTATTATCTGTCACTGTCCTGTGATTGGTTGTGCTCATTGGGCCATCCTCATCTGGGATCTGTTATGCTTTTGTAGTCAGAAGTCATCAGAAAGTTTGGGGGTTAAGCATCTGCCTTCGGCTCAGGTCATGATCCCAGGGTCCTGGGATCGAGCCCCGTATTGGGCTCCCTCTCACCGGGCAGCCTGCTTCTCCCTCTCCCTCTGACCCTCCCCCTACTTGTGCTCTCTCTCTCTCTCCCCCACTCCCGCCTCTCTTTCACAAATAAATAAATAAAATCTTTTTAAAAATAGAAGTCATCAGAAAGCTTGGCCAGGGATGGTTGTCACCCATGGCTAGCAGTCGAGCTGGCTGTGGGCTGGAAATTCAGCTGGAATTGTTAATCAGAGCGCCCCCACATGGCTTCTTCATGTCACCTGGGCGTCTCACAACTTAGTGCCTGGGTTCCAAGAGCGATTGTCCCCAGAGCAAGTCATCCCAAAAGGGAACAGCAAAAGCTACTTTTGACTTAGTCTTGGAAGTTCCACATTATATTGGTTAAACAAAATCACTAAGGCCAACTCAGACTCGAGGGGAGAGCAGATAGACTCTACCTCTTAATCTGAGGAGTGGGTGCATGTATGAGGAGGAAAAGAATTGATGACCATCTTTGGACACTACCTACTATGGTAACAAGGTGGAGATTTATTTATTTTTAAATTTTATTTTATTTAAATTCAGTTACTTAACGTGTAGTGTATTATTAGTTTCAGAGGTAGAGTTCACAAGGTGGGGATTTAGAACTTGTTCTCCGGAATGCCAATCCACTGTGTTCCCACTATAACCCATAGCTCCCCGTGTTGTTTTATATATTATCTGCACCTACTGACTCCCACCCCCCACTTAGTGGATAGCAGAACTCCTTCAGAAAAGAGAGCACATGGTAAGGAGGTATTAAATCGCATGCTCACCAATTCACCAGTCTTGCTTGCTGTTTTCTGACAGTTGTACTATGTGTAACTTACAGACCTATCCCTCAAGGTCTAGGGAAGGAGATGGGGAAGGGACACGGGCTTAGGAAAACGCTGTGAGCAAAGGAGAAGCGGGCATGTAGTCCTAGCTACTCCTCATCTCAGCCAAACAAACCTCCTGTCCCATGGACAGTGCCTTGCAGTTGAAATCCCTCCATAACCACCTGGCATCAAAACAGGGCTTTCTCTTTCCACATTGTTTTGTGTGTGTGTGTGTGTTTTTAAGGTTTTCTTTATTCATTTTGAGAGAGAGAGAGAGAGACAGAGAGAGCACAATCAGAAGGAGAGGCAGAGGGAGAGGGAGAAGCCGACTCCCTGCTGAGCCGGGAACCTGGTGTGGGGCTCGCTCCCAGGACTGGGAGATCATGACCTGAGCTGAAGGCTTAACGACTGAGCCACCCAGGTGCCCCATTATGTGTATTTTTTTTTTAAGATTTATTCATTTATTTTAGAGAGAGAGAGAAAGAGCACGCAGGGGGAGGGGCAGAGGGAGAAGGACAGAGAATCTCAAGCAGACTCCATGCTGAGCACGGAGCCTGACACAGGGCTGGATCCCAGGATGTGAGCTGAAACCAAGAGTCAGACACTTAACTGACTGAGCCACCCAGGCGCCCCACTTTCCACATCGTTTTGCTTGACAGGAATGAAGTATTACTCCTTCTGTTCAATTCCATTGTTTTTTTAACGGTAACACTTAATGATGATAAGGGTACAGTATCTTGGACATTTTTAGTGGCTTCATAAATTGGTATAACACAGTTAAGAATATACTTGGAATATTTATACACCACGACCCATGGGTTTCCTGTCTGGGAACCTATTCTAAGAATATTATCCAAATGATGGAAAAAATTATATAAGAAGATGTCAATCACAGTGTCATTTATAACAGTGAGAAATTAGAACAAACCAAATGTGCAGCAATGAAGAAGTGATTATGTTTTGTTCTCTCCCCTGCTCAATGGCTATTTTGCAGTCATTAAAAAAATGAGGCTTATATACTGAAAATATTTACACATGAAATGGTATGATGCTGGAATTTGCTTCAGAATAATCCAGGGGAGATAAGGAAGTGGGTAAGATGGCCAGGAATTAATAACTGTTTCATCTGGGTGATGGCTAGGTAGCGGTTCATGACACTATTTGTTCTAATTTTCTGTACTTTTGAAATCTTACATGAGAAAGTTTATACATGATGGTTATATAGGTTGTGTAACAAGGAAAATGGTAAAGATAACCTGTTATGTGGAAAAATAGGATAAAAACTATATACTATAATTACAAGTATATAAAAATGTGTGTAAAGAAAGACGATAAGAAACAATCCAAAATAATTGATTGTATTTGGACTGTTGATGTATGAGTACTTTTTCTTCCTTTATTCTTATAAGTTTTATGTCATGTAGATATAGAACTTTTCAAATTAAAAAATGGAATTATAAAATGTTTGCTTACTCTTTCTCACCATTGAAATCTCAAATTTACTTATTTCATGTAGCATAGAATTATCTTTGCTCTTGACTCCACATCCCTGTAAAGCTCCCACATGCGCTGTGTAGTCTCACTTTCTCTGCATAGATGATCTCCTTTGTGTATTTTTGCTACACATTGAAAATTCTGATTTATGTTCTTTAAGTTGCCTGGATTACCCTTGTTGCCCAAACAGGGTTTGCTTGTGAAATCCAAAGTGATTTTTTTTTAAATATTTTTATTTATTTATTTATTTGAGAGAGAGAGAGCATGAGAGGAGAGAGGGTCAGAGGGAGAAGCAGACTCCCCGCTGAGCAGGGAGCCCGATGTGGGACTCGATCCCGGGACTCCAGGATCATGACCTGAGCCGAAGGCAGTCGCTTAACCAACTGAGCCACCCATGCGCCCTCCAAAGTGATTTTAACACAAGTCTAAACAAAATACGATTGTGCGATTTCGCTACCAAAATTTGCGTGGCTGGCATTTCGTAGACCACCACAAATGACTTTTAAATTGTCTGATATTTGGAATTAATGAAGTCACTGCTTTTTGTCTTATGTTGAGCGTGAGAACAGCTATGTTTTTTTCTATGTTCAGTCTTTCCTTTTGAGTGCTCCTGGCTTCCCTTTTAAACACTCAGAGTGTGGGAACCAGGGTGACCGTTGACTAAGGGAGCATACATAGCTGTCTTCTGTTACTCAACCTGTAGTTTTTACAGGGATGTATAATGACACTTTTATGTTCCCTGTTTCTTTAAAGGAAGAAGGTAGAGCGTGAAGTAAAAGCTTTGGCAGCACTTGATCACCCAAATATTGTTCACTACTATGGTTGCTGGGCTGGGAAAGATTACCATCTTGAGGACAGTGTAAATTCTTCAAGGTAACTAAAAAGAATTCTCATAGCCCTAATAGGATGGAGGAAACTGTCATTTACTATGTGTGGGCCACCGGATAAGGCCGTTAGTTAGTAATATCACAACCACAAACACTGTTTGAGACACTGTTATGTCTCTATTCACCAGGTAAGGAAATAATGAATAATCTTTTTGTGGCTCCTATTCCTTGCTCCAAACTTGCTTAAAAAAAAATTTTTTTTTTATTGTCCTCAGCTATTTTGCTCACATGCCACAACCTAAGACCAGGCTGTAAATGCAGCTTTGTGGAGAAAGTTTGAACATGTTACCGACGCTACAGCTGGAAGCCCCTCCTCAGCTGCCAGCACTTTTCTGCCCTTCTCAGAGGTGGAAAAAGTGGTTGGTGGGGTGCAGTCAAGAGGGTCTCTCTCTCTTTTTTTTTTTAAAGATTTTTTTAATTTATTTTACAGACAGAGACACAGTGAGAGAGCGAACACAAGCAGGGGGAGTGGGAGAGGGAGAAGCAGGCTTCCTGCCGAGCAGAGAGCCCGATGCGGGGCTCGATCCCAGGACCCTGGGATCATGACCTGAGCTGAAGGCAGATGCTTAACCGACTGAGCCACCCAGGCGCCCCTCTTTTTAAAATTTAAATTTTTTTTTTTTTAAGTAGGCTCCATGCCCAACATGGGGCTTGAACTGATGACCCTCAGATCAGGAGTCACCTGCTCTACTGACTGAGCCAGCCAGGCGCCCCAAGGAGTCTCTCTTGAATACAGCCACACCACTTAACGGTGGCGTGGTGGGCAGTGAAAATAATTTTAAGACTAGGAGCTGTGATGCAGGTACCCCACCTGGTATCACTCATGTTTTGTCTCAAGCCCCTGACAAAGGACTGGAGGGCTCTCAAGACCTGACATCTCCCTCTGAAAGTCAGCCAGTGTTTCTTGGGGGGACCGTGCTCACGGAAATCCCGAGGACATTGATGCCTGTTCATTCATCGACTCCCAACTCCAGCCCCGGCTCTGCCCCATGTAATTGAGAGCTTTTTAGTTTCAGGGGTTGCTGACCATCAGCTTACAGGCAGGACTTTAGCTTTCCACAGATTCTTGGCTTTCTCTTCCTATTTTCTAGCCAACTTAAGTTCAAAGAATATAAATTAATATTGAGGCCAACCTAGTTGAGAAAGCAAAATAAAAGCATGGTTAGCAAAATCAGTCCTCACAGGTATCTCTTAGCAATTTATTGGCACTTCTCTTTGAGAACCTATCTTTACACTATTGTTTTTGATTTGTTTTGCCCGTATTTCTCTCTTATTAAACCGTAATCCCCATGACAGCAAGGACGGCATCTAACTCATTTTTTCATCCCTAGGTGCCTGTTCTGTGCTTTCCACAAAATAGATGTTCAGTAGGTCGATAGTAAATTAAAACATTCCAGAATTATTTTATGTAGTAATGAACTTTGGTTTTCTTTAATGCCATTGTATTAATGTTCCTATTCCTATTAGCAAAGGGAATCAAGGATCCTTTACCATTAAAGAATGGGCAGGCTCAAACTTTATAAAATAGTTAACAGTGCTCTGGACATTTGGGAACTTATGATTTAAATAAAACATGATGTATTTTGATTCAAGTTTATTATATTTAGATTTCTGTTTTGAGACATGTTTTGGGGTTCTTAAGGAGATAAAGTGTAATTTTAAAAAGAAAGGTTATTTTTTATAAATTTATTTTTATTGCTACATGTAACATACTGCAAATTTTATATCCAGAGCAAAGATTAAGTGCCTTCTCATCCAAATGGAATTCTGTGATAAAGGGACATTGGAGGCATGGATTAACAACAGAAGAGGCAAGAAACCAGACAAACGTTTGTCTCTGGAATTATATGAACAAATAGCAGCAGGTGTGGAGTATATACACGGCAAACAGCTAATTCACAGAGACCTTAAGGTAAATGGAAAATGTACTCTTCAGATTTGATGTGATTTAGTAATTTTAAATCTGTCTTCTCTAGTTTTAGAATTGATTGACAGTCCTGAGGAAATGATATCTCTGATCCTTTAAAGTTAGAATGGATCCAGAACTTGCCCCAAATACCATTCCATGGCACCACTCAGAAGATCTCCAGGACAAATGAATGTATCTAGACAATCAGAAGGAGCCCTATAGGCAGGAGCTCATTCCCTTCTGGTGTTATCTGGCTGCTTGTCATACTCCAGTTGCAAACACCAATAGCTTTCGTAAGCTGAATATTTCTGTGCAGATCATTGCTGTGGTTAGCACAGCCAACGGGCCGCTCTGTCTCTGCTTCTGCCGTTACTCAGGCTTATTTGAGAGGCAGAAGGGACTCCTGTGACTGGCTTTGGGAACATGGTTCTCCTAATTTCTTAAGTCATTACTCTTGAGGGCAGTCACAGCTACTGGATCCAGAGTCTAGAATTTTCTTGGCATCTGGTTAGACATTTCTACCCCATGATTGGAAAATTGTACTGATCCAAAACTTGGAACACATAGCATACCTTTGTATTTTTATTTTCTGCTGGCTTCCTAGCTTCTTTCATGGTCCAGATGAGCTGTTTTCCCATTTTACCTTCTCATCAAAATGAAAGAAGGGACAGAAGAGTTTTTCCACGGTGTCCCCAGTCTCTCTTCCCTATAATCTGCCTACTCCCATCACAAACTAGCCATGTGGAATCCTAACACTGAGCCATTGTTCATGTTCTTCTTGCATGGAACACTCTTCTGCTTGTCTTTTTTGGTCTCAATTTCTTTACGTAGCCTTTCCTGATCACTCTGGATCTGGCAGAAGTGCCTCATCTATATGGATCTCGGCTGTTTGCTTATCCCGCCCATCTACAATAGCCAGGAATGAGGAATGAAGCGAAAGAGTTTCTTGAGAAAAAGAAGCACTTGTGTATAGAGTTGTTGGGGCAGATTGGAATAATTGGCCTGTAAAAGATAGTGTGTCTTTGGTCTGCCCCCAGGAGCTGGAGGCTTGAGGCCTTTGTGTTGGAATCCACCTGGTTCCATCTTTCTTTCTTTCTTTCCTTCTTTCTTTCTTTCTTTCTTTCTTTCTTTCTTTTTCTGCTTTCTTTCTTTCTTTTTCTTTTCTTTCTTTCTTCCTTCCCTTTCCTTCCCTTTTTCTTTTCAATATTTTATTTATTTGAGAGAGAGAGAACATGAGGTGGGGTGGGGAGGGACAGAGAGAAAGAAGGAGAGAAAGGGAGAAGCAGACTCCCCGCCGAGCAGGGAGCCCGATATGGGACTCAATTCCAGGACGCCGGGATCATGACCTGAGCTTAACGGACTGAGCCACCCAGGTGCCCCTGGTTCCATCTTTCTTTAACAATATCTTAAGGTGCATTTTAAAGTTGGAATGTTATAAGAACTATGCTCAAAAGAATAGATTTAGAATGGCTATACCTTCACTTTGGAATAAATCATATATATAGTTAAATAAAAAATTTAAGCACAATTACTTATAAAGTAATCTGCAAATAAATGCAGACGTTTGGGTATGATTCTGGATGAATTTGTGAAACTGACAGGTGCTGCCTGGCCATTCCTTTCCCTAGCATCTCTGTCTCCCACGCTGCCTGTGCCCTGGGTTACGGGGGGTTCTTCTCTCAGCTCTGTTTGCAGACAGTGTTTGCGCCACGTCCGCAGTTGCTCAAAGGTCGGACTTTAATACTCCTGAGCCTTCGTGCCTCTCCTGACTTTTCTAGTTTTACTGCTAGAGTTGCTGCTTTCTCCCACCCGAAAGAAGATGCCAGCGAAGGCGTGCACCTTTCTCTGTGATGCTTCACACGATACCAGCTATAGGTGCTTTTTGCCAGAGAATGGTCTTTACCCCAGAAGTCCCTACTGTATAAAGTCTACCAGCATTTACCACTTTCTGTCAGAATCTGAAGAATTAGACCATCAAATCATTACATCATACATCTGAAAATTGTATGTTAATTATACCTCAGTAATAAAAAAAAAGATATTACAGCAAAACGGAGGGAAAAAAAAAACTAGATGAAGATACTTGTGAGGGACATAGAGGTTTCTAGAGTGAAAGCTTCTGGAGGTTCTTTCCCTCTGTAGACCCAGGCTCTTTGGTCAGCCTCGGTCTGCAGATTCAGTCCTTTTTCCCTGTACCTCCTGTATAAAGTTTGCACTTTTTTTTTTTTTGCCTTATTATACCATAACTGATTAGACAAAATGTGACCTTATTGTTTTTCTTTTGCTTTTTTTTTTAAGATTGTATTTTATTTATTTATTTGAGAGAGAGAGTGAGAGGGAGCACCAGCAGGGAGGAGAGGGAGAAGCAGGCTCCCTGAAGATGCGGGGCTCGATCCCAGGACCCTGGGATCATGACCTAAGCCAAAGGCAGACGCTTAACTGAGCCACCCAGGCGCCCGTATTTTTTTTCTTTTTAATGAACTATTAACAAGTGATCTGCTATTTTTACGGGACAGTCTCATCCAGCTTATATATTTAGAAGCATCGTAAATGCAACCTCAGGGTTGCTCAGAGTCAAGTTATAGACCTCTGTGGGAGGAGCCGTTGCACTTGCAAACCCAGTGTATTCCTACATGGTAACCTGAATGCTGCATTGGGAGGTTTTTCTCTCTACACCCACCCCACACGCATCTGCAAGTTTCCGTCTTCATTATCAGCAGTAGATTCCAATCTCATTGTGAATGGTGCCACTCTAACTGCTAATTGCTGCATGAGCCTTTTTCGGCTGGCTTCTCCGAAGCTCTCTTTGAGCCTTCTTGACTTTGTGGTCTCTTCCCTGTCAGCTCCTTTGCTAGGCCCTCTCGTGAGTATTACTTACCTCCCAGAGTCTGCATGTGTACGTCGAACCCAACATCATATTCAAAGTTGCCTTTTCAAGAATGACAGAATATGTATTTTTAAATATTTTCTTTCTGAGCAATGTCTACACCCAACGTGGGGCTCGAACTCACCACCCTGAGATCAAGGGTCTCACGCTCCACCAACTGAGCTAGCCAGGCACCCCAAGAATGGCAAAATATTAATTTCCTTATCAACAACCTTCCTGTTTTCATGGTCTTTAGAGTGTTTATCAATACGACCTACAAAATGGTGGAATAGGATGAACAACACTCCCTATTTGTCCCCCACCCCCCCGCCTTTTTCGATCTGCTTAGAGATGTACATGGACAGAAATACTTAAGTGCTAGTTATCAGCTTCCAGTTGATGTGGCCTACCTTCAAGAACAGAGGGGGTGGGTTTGTTAAGAAGTTGCCAGGGGTCTGGAGAAATTGACATCAAGGAAATCCCTGGGAGAAATTCTGCGCAGGATATCTTAACAGCTTTATTGAGAAGAGACTCATTCTAAGAATCTCAAACTTAGAGATCTGAAGGGCTTCTACTTCCATCCCCAACAGATCCTGGATTCATATTTGTAACATTTCTACCAAGTCGGTGTCCAGCCCCACCTTGAATACTCCCTGAGATGGGGACTCTCAAATTCCCATTCTTTGGACCACACTATTAGTATATTAGGATATATTAAAGCAAGCCTTTGGTTGTTTCTATCCTCTAGTACTGTGCAGAGTGAATCCACCTTCCACTAAGCATATCTTCAGATATTTGAAGGCAGTTATGCCCGAAGCCTTCTCTGCTGACAGAGAAGTCCTTACTTCCTCAGCTGGTACTTTAGAGACCTGTGACTAAGTATCCTGTGTTGGGCTACCCGTGTAAGGGTAAATACCTTATAAGGAAATATAAAAATAGCCCTTGTTAAATATGATTTGGAAATGTGATAACAGTCTGTTGAATTGGTACTTATAAATATTGGGTGTTTTTTTTTTTCTGTAGCCAGGTAACATATTTTTAGTAAATACAAAACACATAAAGATTGGAGACTTTGGACTTGTGACATCCTTGAAAGACTGTGCAAATCGGACAAGTAATAGAGGAACTTTTACATACATGAGTCCAGAGCAGGTGAGATCCCTTTCCTTTCTATGTATTTTTCACTTCTTTTGTATTTCTAATTATAGAGATAATAGACACCTCTTAGTAAAACAACAAAGAAGCATATAGAACAAAAATGGAAAATTCCCTTTAACATTCTTTTCTACTCTTCTCATGGAGTCTGTTGTTTATCGTTTTAGATAATTTTCTGTGAGTTATAAACATATATAAACACAAATATATATGTATATAGAGACTTTTTGCATAAAGATATAAGGACATGCTTTTACAAAGTTACTGTAATGTTATTTTGCGCCTTATTTTTTTTCATTCAACAGTGTATCCTAATCTTTCTATATCAGCACATGTGCATCTGACACATCCGTTTTAGCAACTGTATTGTATGCTGACCTATACCATCATTTATGTAACTTTCTTATTGATGCGTATTTATTTAGGCTGTTAGCAAGTTTTTATGTTCCCCCCCTTATCTTTGACTCTAAAAACAAGTATTTCCATGATCATCTATGATAGGTTCCTTTAAGTGAAATTATTGAATAGAATGACAAGTGCATTTTATACTTGGCCAATACTGTGACATTGTCATCCCCAAAAAAGGGATTCTACTGTGCCTTCCTCCCAAAGTGTTGGAGAATGCTGCTTTCTCCTTCCCATTCCCAATCAGACTAGGGTGCTAGCAGACTGCAGTTTGGGCCACTGTGATGAATGAGGAGTATCTTGCTGGTTCAGTTTGCATTTTTCAGATTTTTAGTAAGGTAGACCATCTTTACATGTATTTACTTACGATTTTTCTGCAGATTCTATGTGTCCTTTCCTCATTTTTCTTAATTAGGTTATCTGCTCCTAATTTATTTGTAGGGAATATTTATATATTTCAGTGACTGATTCTGTGTCTGTTAACCATATTGCAGATTTGTTCTCCTTGATTGTTCCTTATTTCTTTGTTTATGATGTATCATGGAAGCTTAAATTTTAAGTTGTCATGTTTATCAGTATTTTCTTTATGGCTGCTGGGTTTCTCATTTTTATTTTGGAGGCCATTTCTCCCACATTACAAAAATATTTTGTGTTTTTACTTTAATTGAGCCTAACTTGAATTAGTTTTTGTATACATCTGAGGAAGGGATATACCTTGATCTTCCTCATGTGGATATGCAGTTGCCCATCACCATGTATCAAATAGTTCATGATGTAAGCTTTTATTTTAAGGAAAATTCATAGAAACAAAAAGTAGAACAGAAGTTACTAGGGCCTGAGGGAGGAAGAATGGGAAATTGTTTAATGGTGCAGTTCTGTTTGGGATGATGAAAAAATTTTGGAAATAGATACCGGTAATGGTTGTGTGATATTGTGAGGGTACTTAATGCCACTGAATTGCACACATAAAATGGTTAAAATGATAAATTTTATGTCTATTTTACCATAATAAAAATGGTATTTGTAATCAAAACAGTATGGTGGTGGCACAAAAATAGACATATAGATCAATGGAACAGAAGAGAAAACCCAGACATGAACCCACAATTATATGGTCAATTAATCTTTGACAAAGCAAGAAAGAATATCCAATGGGAAAAAGACAGTCTCTTCAACAAATGGTATTGAAAAATTGGACAGCCACATGCAAAAGAATGAAACTGGACCACTTTCTTACACCATACACAAAAATAAATTCAAAACGGATTAAAGGCCTAAATGTGAGACTTGAACCTATAAAAATCGTAAAAGAGAACATAGGCAGCAATCTCTTTGACATTAGCCATAGCAACTTCTTTCTAGATGTGTCTCCTGAGGCAAGGGAAACAAAAGCAAAAATAAACTATTGGGACTACATCAAAATAAAAAAAAAAGCTGCTGCACAGTGAAGGAAACAATCAAGAAAACTAAAAGGCAGCCTACGGAATGGGAGAAGATATTTGCAAATGACATGTCCCATAAAGGGTTAGTATCCAAAATATATAAAGAACTTATAACACTCAACACCCAAAAAACAAATAATCCAATTTAGAAAAATGGGCAAGAGATATGAATAGATATTTTTCCAAAGAAGACATACAGATGACCAACAGAGACATGAAAAGATGTTCAACATCACTTATCATCAGGGAAATGCAAATCAAAACTACAGTGAGATCTCACCTCACACCTGTCAGAATAGCTAAAATCAACAACACAAGAAACAACAAATGTTGGTGAGGATGTGGAAAAAGGGGAACCCTCTTGCACTGTTGGTTGGAATGCAAACTCTGGAACACACTATAGGAGTTTCTCAAAAAGTTAAAAATAGAACTACCCTGTAATCCAGCAATCACACTGCTAGGTATTTACCCAAAGAATACAAAACTACTAATTCAAAGGGATACATGCATCCCGATGTTTATAGCAGCATTATCTTACAAATTATGGTAAAAGCCCAAGTGTCCATCGACTGATGAGTGGATAAAGAAGATGTGGGAGACACACACACACACACACACACACAGAGGAATGTTATTCAGCCATAAAAAAGAATGAAATCTTGCTATTTGCAATGATGTGGATAGAGCTAGAGAGAATTATGCTAAGCGGAATAAGTCAGAAAAAGACAAATATATGATTTCACTCATATGTGGAATTTAAGAAACAAAACAAATGAGCAAAGGGGGAAAAAAGAGAGAGGCAAACCAAGAAACAGACTCTTAACTATAGAGAACAAACTGATGGTCACCAGAGGGGAGGTTGGTGGGGGGATGGGTGAAATAGGTGATGGGGATCAAGGAGTGTACTTGTGATGAGCCCTGGGTGATGCATGGAGGAGTTGAGTTACTATATTATACACCTGAAACTAATATTAGACTATATGGCAACTAACTGGAATTTAAATCAAAACCTAAAAGAAATGCTATTTTATCATACATGAAATTCCCACACACTCATGGATCTGTTTTTGGATGCTCTTCTGTCCAAATGACTTATTTTTATCTTTTTCTCTTTAATATCATACTGTCTCAGTTATTATAGCATTATAATATCAGTTTTAGTATTTGGACAGCAGGACCTCCCACATCATTCTTCATTTTAAAAATGTTCTTAGTGTTCACATTCACTATTCCATTTGAACTATAGAATCAGCCTGTCATGGTCCATCACTGGTGAGATTTTTGACAGAAACTGCGTTAAATTTAAGGATTCAACTGAAGAGAATTGACATTTTTATATAACTGAGACTTCTGCTCCAGGAAATTGGCAGGTTTCTTCCACTTATTCAAGTCCTCTCTCAAGTCAGCCTTGGTCAGGCAGTCTTACGGTAACCGGTGACTCCCAATCTCCTCGTGGCATACAAAACACCAAAGATTTATTTCTCGCCCACGTGATGTGTTGGCTGTGATCTGGCTGTGGTTTTGTTCCACGTGTCTCCTTCATTCCAGAACCCAGACTGAAGGAAGCACCCTGTCTGGGTCATTGCTGTCCTCACAGCCGGTGATGGTGGTAGAACCTTGTGATGACTTGGGTGGGCTCTGCCCAGGAGTGGCACACATCACTAACCATCATGGCCCTGTGTGAATTGCATGGCCCAACCCAAGGGGTGGAGATGGCAGGTGTCATCCTCTTACTGGGAGGCCAGGGCACAGCCGGGGGCAATGATAAACCTACCTTAAGGCCATTTTTATATTCTTCAATGAAGTTTTAAAATATTTTTTTCTTCATGAAGACCACTTATATTTTCATTTTTTTGACCACTTATATTTTTAAAGCATTTCCCTCAATATGTGTAGTGTTTTGCTGTTAAAATGGGACTCCTTGTATCTAATTGGTTATTAGTAAATCTATTGATTTTAAAACATATTTATTTTTAATTGTGGTAAAATACACATAACATAAAATTTTCCGTGTTAGCCATTTTTAAGTGCACAGTTGAGTGGCATCAGGTACTTTTACGTTGTGCAATCATCTCCACCATCCCTCTCCAGAACGAACTCTTTTCATCTTGCAAAGCTGAAACTGCACCCATTGAATAGCTCTGCGTTCCCGTCTCCCCCAGCCCTGTCAACCGCCATCCTACTGTCTCTATGAATTTGTCCACTCTAGATATCTTGTTTAAGTAGAATCATACAGTATTTGTCTTTTTGTGACTAGCTTTTTTCACCCAGCATAATATCCTCAGTATCACCTATGCTGGAGCAATATGTCAGAATGTCCTTCCTTTTTAAGGATTAACAATATTCCGTTGTATGGATAGACCACATCTATTCATCCATCAGTGGATTCGTGGGTTGCTCTACCTTTTGGCTCTTGTGAAAATTGCTGTTATGAACCTGGTCGTACAGCTATTGATTGTGAATGTTTGTCTTATATATAGATTCGCTATTCCAGTAGCTTATATTTTTTGGTTGACAGTTTATTGTCTATTTTTCATCTTTTTGATGTTTGAGAGTCTAGAATGGAGAGGAAATCCACCTGTTCCCTTTGGGGACCGTGTGGCACAAAGACATAATTTAAGTTTTTTGTGGAATGTGAAAGTGGGAGACAATAGGTGGCTAATGGCCCCCCTTTAACTCGCACTCTATTAAATATCTCCTGCACCCTGTATTGCCACCCTAAAAATATTTTTTAAAAATTCATTCATCATTGTGCTTTTCATTTTCTTAGTGGTTTTTAAATTAAAAATCATTTTATTAGGGCATGATTTATACACCATAAAATGTACATATCTTAAATGTACATTTTTTTGACAGAGGCATATTCCTGTGAAACCCATAAGCCTATGAAAATGTAGAGCATTATCCTCACCTGTGAGAATTCCCTCAGGCCCTTTCCAGTCCATCCCACCTTCCCAGAGGCAATCAGTGCTCTGATTTCTATCACAACAGATTAGTTTTCCCTGTCTTGAGCTTCATATGAATGGAATCATACTTTATGTACTTTCTTGTATTTGATTATTTCCCTCAAAGTAATGTCTATTGGAGAACTTCTAGTCGTTGCTTATGCCAACAGATTATTCCTTTTCGTTACTGAGTACTATCCCATTGCCTGAAGAGGCCACAGTGTGCTTATTCATTCTCTTGCGGATGGACATTCGGATTGCTTCCAGTCAGAATATTAGAAATACATATTCTATGAACATTTGCATGCAAGTCACTTGTGAGAAATATTTTAGCTATTTTACCTGCTGCATCTTCGTTAACACCACAGTCAAACTCTGAGGTTGGAACTTTTGTTATCCCCATTTTTATGGTTGAGATTATTCTACCCTTGATGGTTCATTTACATGGGTGATGCAGCTATTTAGTGACAGATTGGAACCAGGGCAGTCAGACTCCACAGATGTTGCTAACAAACATGTAACATGATAGAAGATATTTGGTCAAATAACTTTTTTTGGCTTCAGAAGAACATGGATGTTTATATTGGGTGAGTAACAAATGTAAACATATCTTGGTCTCTTTAGATTTCTTCACAAGAATATGGAAAAGAAGTGGATATCTTTGCTTTGGGGCTAATTCTTGCAGAACTTCTTTACATATGTCCCACTTTTTCGGAAACAATAAAGGTAAATAATCTCACAAAAATAATTAAGCAACAAAAATTATTAACAGTCATTTCCAAAGTGCTGCTACAATAATTACCCTCATGGGAGGATCGGCTTGAATATATTCGTGTTGACCGAAAAGGAAATACGGATTTTATCTTTTCCATGTTTGGGCAACCAAAGCTTTTTGTTTAAGACCAAAACCTTTGGTCTTCTTTGAGAGGTATGTACAGCTCATAAAACTACAGCTGTTTCTTATTTGAGTCAGTCAGTAAACTTTTATGGATTGCCTGCTTTGCATAAGACACCGTGCTAAGTGCTACAGGGTTATAAAAATGAATAAGCGTTGTTCTCAAGGAGCTTATATTCTAGAAAGGAAAATAAGAGAATGCCATACATGTTTTGGGAGAAGACATGAAGTTTTGTGGAAATGGCTAGGACAGAGATCTTGCTAGCTAGAGGGATTTCGGTTTCATGGAGGTATTTAAGCTGGGTTTTGAAGGACGGGTTCGCTTCTAATGGTCCAAAATAGAACGAATGCAGATGCAGCCTTCAGACAGCAATGTGCAGAGTGTGGGAATAGCAGGCAGTGGCATTTTCATTGGAGTATGTGAGTGACAAGGAAGTGAAGGTTGATGGCACTGGAAAGACATGTTGGGGCTAGATGAAGGCAAGGTGATGGACTTTCTTATGGAGGCAGTGGGTTGCCGCTAAAGACAATAGGCAACAGGACAGCTTGGTCTGAAGCTCAATAAAGGGAACTTGCCTGGAGCCAACAGCCTTCTCTGTACACGGGGTAATGAAAATACCTATCACATAAGATTCCAAGAAGGATGAAGGGAGATAATGCATATGATGCTCTTAACACTTCAGCATATCATGGTGTTAAGGATGGGGCAAGGTGGGGAAGGGGAGTTCTGTGTGTTTCTTGGCTAAGAAACAAGTTTGGTTTTCTTCCCAAGTGAATAATTTCCTAATGACTATATATATATATATATATATGTTTTATTTTCAGATATTTAAAGACCTAAGGACTGACAAGTTCCCAGATGTGTTTGATGTCAGAGAAGTAAGCACTTGAAAATAATCAGAATTTCATTTATTTCAATGTTCTATTTCTTAGTATTGACTCATTATCATTACAGAAAATTCTTCTGCAGAAATTATTGGCACATGATCCCACGAAGCGACCTAATGCATCTGAAATACTGGAGACTTTGAAGGAGTGGAAGAATGTTGTGAAAAATGAACGAAGCACGTGGTAGAGCCCTTCTAAAAAAGTATCTTACTTTGGATATTCAATTTTTCTGTAATTGTCTAAAATCTTCTAGGGACTGCTGATGGTATTTACCTTCTATTTTAATTTTTCCCTTAATTTTTCACTATATTTTAGGAAGGTTTGAATCTTTTTTTTTTTTAACTTCAGAAACATTCATACATTTGCCTAATTTTCCTAGCTCATCTCCTTATTATAAACATTGGGGGGAATCTCTCAAATTTTTTATGTTAATTAGTGAATCAATTAATAATATTTATCAAGTGTTCACTCTTTCTAGGCCAAAAAATATAAGATATTTCCTTGTCTTAAATAGCTAACCAGCTTGTTAGAGAAATATGGTATCCCTAAAAAGATAAGTGATATACAATCATTTTGGAAAACAATTTGGTCTGATCTGGTTAAGTTGAAGGTGTATATACCCTCAAAGCCATCAGTTCCATTCCCACTTGCATGCCTACAAGAATGTTCATAGAAACTCTGTTTACAACAGCCAAAAGAACAGAAAACAATGTCCATCACAAGAAGAATGGATAGTTTTTTTTCATACGTTGTAATGCTGTATAGAAGTGAAAATGAATGAATGACAAGCTAAATGCAGTAACATGATACATCTCATAGGAACATAATGTTAAGCGAACACAGCTGGTTACAGAAAATATAGACAGAATGGTTCTCTTTACATAAAGTTCCAGAGAGAATGCTAAATGAAATAATTTTGTTTAGACATGCAAACAAATGTAGTCAAACAATAAAAGGAAAGAAAGGAATAAAGAAATAATAAATCCCATAGTGGTTCTCTGAGGAAGGACAGAAGTGCTGTGACCCAGGGGGTGAACTGCGAAGGTAACAGTTCACCTTTTTAACCTAAACTGGCTGTTGAGTTTACTACTGCTTACTGCCTAGTTATTCTTTTTTATCTTAAATGCATCTTGTATCTATTAGAACACACACTTTAAAGAGATAACTGTGCCGGAAGGCAGGAGGTAAGCACAGAAAGTAGTCAATCTGGCGGGGTTCACATGAGAACCCTTTCTACTGAGGTATCATGGCGCAGGGCTTAGACGTGGTATTCCAGTGAGACTTCAAGTAGGGGCGGGATATAGCTGAGTAGAGAGGAATAGTATGGGCAGTAGTCTGGGCAAGAAGCGTGGCTTGAGTTCTGTAAGAGATATACCTGAGGAACACTGAGTATACTTGTTGTCTCCCTGAATCCCTGGAGGGAGTACCAGAAGATAATTTGGGTGGCATCTTGGAAGAACCCGAGGGTTGATTTAAACTTGAGAGCAACCAATTAGCATTCTAAAGTTGTCATATAATTTTACAAGTTTTCAAAATGAGCCAAATTTAGGCTAAGCAGAAAATTCCAGAGAAAATGCTTTTATAAAGGCTTAGGGCTATTTCTAAAGTTACTAAAAGCAGCTAATACGGTTTTCAACTCTCAATGCGGTATGTGATCAAGGCAGGGTTTATCAATGAATGCTAAAACTATTGGTTGAAAAGGTGTTGGGGAACAAGATCTTCACAGGACTTAAATATAATCCCACAGATGATATATCAGTTACAAGGGGGAGAAGGGAAATGCACCTTTACCATGGAAAGATCTCGTTGTGTCCTCCATAACTACATGATTAAATCTAGCATCACTGAAGGTGGGACAAACTAATATTATGCTTCTCCTGATGTGACTGATGTAAGAATTATCTATCACACTATCACCTATTTAGTTTTCTTGCCCAAAGCATTTAACTGAAATTCAGTCATGAAGAAATTATTAGACAAACCCTGAATGAAGTCATTCTATAAGATAATTACCTTGGGCTTTTCAAAAACGCCAATATCATAAAATAAAAAGTAGAGGAAGCATTCTAAATAGAAAGAGGCTAGAGAGATATAATGACCAAATACGATGTTTGAATCTTGATTGTACCCTGGATGTTAAAAAGAAAAAAGAAAAAAACCCCAGCAAATAGCTGTAAAAGATGTTTTGGGGACAATTAAGAACATTTGGATATGGACTGCATATTAGATGGCATTATAGATAATTGTTAATTTTTGTAGGTGTGATAATATTGTGGTCATGCAGGAAAATGTCTTATTCTTAGGCAATGCATGAGGCAGTATTTAGGGGTGAAGTGACATGATATTGGCAACTTTATTTTTTTTTTAAGATTTTGTATTTATTTGAGAGAGCGAGCCAGAGCGGGGTGGGGGGGGGTAGTGGTGGTGGAGAGGAAGGAGAAGCAGACTCCCTGCTGAGCAGGGAGCCCAATGTGGGGCTTGATCCTGGGACCCTGAGATCATGACCTGAGCCGAAGGCAGACAAGTAACCGACTGAGCCACCCTGGTGCCCCAATATTGGTAACTTTCAAATGTTCAGCAAAAATCAATTATGTACATGGAGAGAGAAAATGGGGCAAAATGTTGAAAACTGAACAACTGATACATCTAGATGGAGGATATAGAAGTTATTAATGCACATATGTGATTTGGCTTTTATACATATACATATGTGTGTGTGTGTGTATGTGTCAGCTACATAATTTGTGGGACCCAATGAAATGAAAACACGAGGCCTTTGTTCAAAAATTAAGCATGGGGCACTTCTTGAACATGGAACTTTGTGCAACTGCACCGGTCCCACACCCATGAGGTCAGACATGTATGTGAACGTACACATATCCATATACACACATATATGTGCACACATACATGTACCAGATGAAATGTTTAGAAGTCTAAATACCAGCTTCTCCAAGACTCCGTTATCCAGGCCACTGACTAGAAACATAAACTCACAATATCCATTCCCTACTTGGGTGTTCACCATAACTTGAGGTTCCTGGCATGTTCACTTTTTATTATAGAATAATGAATGATGCCAGTATTATTCATATTTATTTTCATCAATTTTTATGTTAAAACATACATCAAAAGAGAGAATGGGGGGTGTCTGGGTGGCTCAGTCGGTTAAGCATCCAACTCTTGATTTTGGCTTAGGTCATGATCTCATGGTGGTGGGATTGAGCCCCATGTTGGGCTCTGCGTTCAATGGGGAGCCTGCTTCTCTCCCTCTCCCTCTGCACCAATCCCTGCTCTCTCTCTCAAATAAATAAGTAAAATCTTAAAAAAAGAGAGAGAAAAGAATAGTGAAACTATGTACCCATCACCTAGTTTCAACAACGATCAGTATTCCATCTTTCTTGTTATATATACCCCCTTCTTTTTTAAAATTTTCTTTTACTGGAGTATTCTAAAACGAATCTCAGGCATTATATCATTTCACTTGTAAATACTTAAAAACATATATCAGAATATCTTAGAATATAAGATCTTTTGAATTTTAACAAAACCATGATAACATTGTCATTCAATAAAATTAATAAGATTTCCTTGATTGTCATCCAATAATCTTGTCTGTATTCAGTTTTCTTCACAAAAAAATATTTTTACTGGTTGTTTAAATCAGGATCCAACATTGTGTGTCGCTGATGTCTCTTACTCTAACATTTACCCGTTTTCAGTTTTTCCTCTTGCCATTTATTTGAGGAAGGAACTGGATCACATATCCTGTAGAATTTCCTTCATTCAGGATCTGGCTGATAACATCCCCATGGTGTCTAGTTAGAACTAGAAGCTTGATTTGATTCTGGTTCAGATTTTCTTCCCCAAGAATACTGTATCAGTGATGCTGTATACTTCCTTTGGCATCACTTTGGGAGGAGTATGTTTGGTTTTTCCACTTTCGGTGTTTTGAAGATTGATCGGTGGGCTCTGGGGGTGTCATGTCCTATCAAGTTTCCTACCCATCTTCCACCTAACGGTTTTGGCAACCATTGATGATTGTTTTTTGGATCCATTATTTCATTAAGGGTTGCAAAATAGGAATTTTCGGATCCTATCAAACCTCTTTGTCATCTGTGATTCTTCTATAAAGAACTTAAATGGGACAGATGGGATATTTATTTTTAAAATGAGTTGGTGCCCTGGCAAACTCCAAAGGTGACAAATGAGGTGTTTGTTTTTTGAGCAGGGGTGGGTGTGACCCAACCAGTTCTTTGAAACAGTGTGCTCAGAATGGGTTGGAGCAGGAGGAGACTATATTTAAAAGACCAGAATGCTGAGAGGCTGTGCCGGCCTGAAAAAATTGTGGGGTCAGAACCAAGAGGACTTGGTAACTAATTGTGAGGATTAAGGAGAAGGTATGCAGCAGACATTACCTCCAGGTTTGTTTAAATGCATGTGGCTGGATTAGGCTGCCATTACAGGAAATACAGGCCCCAGTCACATTAACCCCCAAAGAGCCACACGCACTTGAGAGCTATTTTGTCTCACACTTTTATCTATTACACAATTTTTCATTAGAATTTAAGCCAATAGTGAGGTCACCGCATGTCTGTCCTCACGGTGAGGCGAACACTTAAGGGAGCTAAAACGTGAGCTCTCATGTGGAGATGCCACGTTTGGGTTGCAGCCAGAACATTCAGGTGAAGATGTAGAGCAGACTGTAGGAAACACATGATAGGGACATGGTGGAAAGGACAGAATCGTATGCAGAATAGCGTGCGTGTTATCTGGAAGTAACCCCTGCAGCTCAACTTTGAGTCCAGGGGATTGCCAAGGGAGATCATATAGAGGAAAGCAGGCTAAGGGACAAAATATGGCAGATCATTTAGATATTTACTCTATATCGAAATGTCCACCCAGTCCTTAATGTCTATGATTCTGTTATTCTGTATGTGTGACTGTGGCCTATCCCAAGCCTTCATTTCCTCAGAAAGGTCTCAGATGGAGGGACTACGGTTGATTGATGTACGGTGGCCTCACTATTGGTTTAAACTCTGACTAAAAACTGTGTAATAGGTAAAACTGTGAGGCAAATATCTCTCAAATATGTGTGGCTCTTCAGGGGTTAATTCAAGACCTGTTATCAGTTTTCTATGCTGTGACAAATTACCACAAACTTGGAGGTTGAACACAACACACATT